GGGTTGAGGAGGGGGTCGGATCGGAAAATGCCGGGGTTTTGGGGGTTCAGGGTTGTGTGAAAGGTGTAGGTTTGTTTGGGGACCGCTGGAGGGTTTCAAAGCCTTGGGCTTCCAGGGGCAGGGTTTAGGGTTTAGGGTTTAGGGTTTAGGGTTTAGGGTTTAGGGTTTAGGGTTGAGAGTTTAGAGTTTAGGGTTTAGGGAACTCCCATAAGCCCGGTAAAAGCCCTATACAAACCCTGTACAAACCCTTAAACAAGCCGTGCACAAGCCCTGTACAAACATATGCGAAACCTATAAAAACCCTACGTAAACCCTATACAGCCCTCTAAGCCCTACAGCCCCGAAAGCCTAAATCCAAAACCCTAAACCCTAAACCCTAAGGCCCAAACCCCAAACCCCAAACCGTAAACCCTAAACCCTAAACCCTAAACCCTAAACCCTAAACCCTAAACCCTAAACCCTAAACCCTAAACCCTAAACCCAGAACAGCACGCAGGCTCAGGCTGCGGCCTGCTCCGGCTCGTGACAGAGAAGGGCGAGATCCTGAAGAGTCAGGATCTAATCGTTTAGGGTTTAGGGTTTAGGGTTTAGGGTTTAGGGTTTAGGGTTTGGGGTTTGGGGTTTAGGGCTCAATGGTTACCATTATTCTTACTATTTGCTACAATTGGAGTAGTGTTATTGTCCGGCTGAAATCGGTTTTGCGCGCAGATTGCGCTTGACTGTGTTTTTTTTCTCTTGCTCTATTTTTGTGTTCGTGTTATTATCCGTCCGTTAAATCTGTGATGATCATGATGATTACTATTAGTCTTGTTGTTGTTATGGATAGTATGATTGTTATCAGCACGTTCGTTTTTTGTTTTTTACATTTTTTTTGGCTTAGGTTTGGGGTTTCCTTTTTTAATTTTTGGGGGGAGGGCTTGTGGGGTTGAGGCAACTTTACCTGGGGGACGGGCCCTAAACCCTAAACCCTAAACCCTAAACCCTAAACCCTAAACCCTAAACCCTAAACCCTAAACGGGGAGGAGGAGGGTTTTGGGGCAGAGAGGGGCTCTGGGATGTTGGGGTTGGGTGGCTCAGCTCCTAGTTCGCACCGAGATTTGGAGAGAGGTGGTGTTTGTCTATGGTGACCGCCTAAACCCTAAACCCTAAACCCTAAACCCTAAACCCTAAACCCTAAGCCCTCCACCCCATACTCGTGGGCCCAAAACGCACATAGTTACCTAGTAGAGCATCTTGGCCGGGGGGGATCTAGGGGTAGCTACATGGTTCCTGAATATGGTCCCTGGCCTTCTTTGAACCACTTGGGTTCTATAGGGTATATAAGGGGTGTATAAGGGTCCGAGAGCCGAGAGGAGAGTTAGACGGTTTTGGTTTGGGTGCAATTCTTGGACTAAAACATTAAACGTGTCCTACACCATGGACTTTGGGAAACTATATCTTTTAAGGCCGAAACCAGGTGGACGTTTGTTTTCGGGCTTTGTTTTCCCAAATGCCCCTTCTGTAGTCCTGCTCAAGCCTAAACCCGAAACCCCTGAAGCCGGGTTTAGGGTTTAGGGTTTAGGGTTTAGGGTTTAGGGTTTAGGGTTTAGGGAGCCCTTGTGTGGTCCTTGTTGAACCTATGGTCTCCAATTAGGAAGGGACCCAACACTCCATCAGGCTTCCAAAAACGGGCTCCCCTTGCAAGGCGTCTTCTTAGGGTTGAGCGTCAGCGTTGGGACGTTCCCCCTTGTACTAACAGTCCTTATAATAGAGGTCATAGTACCCCTTAGTATGATCACATAACCTTGAAACACCGAGCTGCCTCCCGCCCCCCCCCGCCCCCCGCCCGCCCCCCCCCCCCCGGGTCTAATTTTCTGTCGGGTGCCTAACGTCGGTTGTTATAAGTGGCATTTAAGTACCCAAGGTTCGGGCCAGGCTATAGATGCGGGTTAATCGGGGACCCCAATAAGGTACCCTCATTTCGGAAATTAGGTAACCCCCAGATGAACTAAGCTTCAACCATAGACACTAAGCAGCCCTCATTGCCAGCGGCACCTTGCGCGTGTACCGTGGGCTTGCGGGTGCGGTTTTGAGTTAAGCGCATGGTGATAGGGACTCTTTGTTTGCTAAAGCATCTGAGGAACAGCACTTAGCTGCCCTGAACCCTAAACCCTAACCCTAAACCCTAAACCCTAAATCCTAAACCCTAAACCCGAAACTCTCAACCGCCTAGGACCCAGAGTAGGCCCTTCTTCCCTATTTATTTGTATGGTGCAGGTTCCCTTCTGATCCCCTTGAAACCAAACGGGCACCCTGTATATTCCTAGGGTACTCGAGGGTCACCCGAAACCCTAAAGCCTGTAATCCCTAAATCTTACACCCTAAACCCTAAACCCTAAACCTTAAACGGGTGAATCTTAGGTCTAGCCACCCTGGCAGGATATACTTCCAGATGCAGGGGTGCTGCAGGCAGCTGCCATGGAAGGTTTCTACAGGAGCTTCTTCCGTTCTAGCCCTAAACCCTAAGCCCCAAACCCTAAACTCTAAACCCGAAACCCTGAACTCTAAACCCTAAACCTTAAACCCTAAACTCTAAACCCTAAACCTTGAACCCTGGGATGCTCATCAATTTTGCTTAGCAGGAGACTGAGACCCTCCAGGAGATAGTTACGAGCCCCGGACTGTCTCTTGGGGGTCTAGGGTTTAGGGTTTAGGGTTTAGGGTTTAGGGTTTAGGGTTTAGGAATTAGGGTTACGGTCTAAACCCTTAAACCGGACCCCTAACAAGACACCCCAAATAGCAGGATCCCCTTGTCATAAGGACCCCAAGAAGGTACCTAGAGTTTTATGGTTTAGGGGTGTGGATTTTGAGTTTGGGCTTTATGGGTTTTATGGGTTTTATGGGTTTTATGGTTTTATGGGTTTTATGGGTTTTATGGGTTTTATGGGTTTTATGGGTTTTATGGGTTTTATTTTTGGGTTTTGCAGTTTTTCGGTATAGGGCTTAGGGTTTATAGGGGTTTAGGATTACCGTTTAGGTTTGAAGTGATCGTCTCCTGTTGATCGTCCTGTCTTGTTTCCCAATCGTAAGTACCAAAGCTTGGATGCTGTCCCCACTCAAATTGACTAGACTGGGTGACTTTATAGGCCCTTGATACTGTAGATCTTTATATTGTTAGTAACGACGGCTATGGATGAAAAGGCGAAGCCGCAGAAACCTCAAAGACAACGGGTTTCCCTGGTTCATGTGGTTGCGCCGTGGGTTTGTTGGGTTGTGGGTTGTCTTGGACGTGATGAGTTAGGCGTACACCCTGTGTTCAGGGATTTAGGATGTGGGGGGGGGGGGGGGGGGGGGGGCGGGGTGCCAGCAGTTGGTGTACACGAGGTTGTGGTTCAGGGCTTAGGGGCTGCGACAGATGATCGGCCAGGTGCAGCGGATGATGATGGCGGAAGGCGTGCCAAACAGCACTTCGGGGGGAGGGCGCCGGACAGGGTGGGAGGGGGCCGGCGGGGGGGGGGGGGGGGACCAGGGGGGGGGGGAGGGGTAAATGACTTGAAGATGCTTAATCAGTAGATCAACGATTTGCGATCGATGCACCAGTGGGATTGAGGAGACGTTTAATTTGAAACCCAAAGCACTGAATTCCTAGGATGCCCAGTAGTTGGTTTAGGTTCCCTTAGAAACCCCTTTAAGCAAAAAAGGGCACCCTTTTTAAGCCTAGGTCACTGGGCAGCCTAGATTCTCTTCAGACTCTCAGACTGGCAGACCGCATTTTGAGACCTACCTGATGTTCATGCTATGTGGTTGAGGGTTCGGGTTAGGGGGTTAGGGGTTAGGGGTTAGGGGTTTAGGGGTTTAGGGTTTAGGGTTTAGGGTTTAGGGTTTAGGGTTTAGGGTTTAGGGTTTAGGGTTTAGGGTTTAGGGTTTAGGGTTTAGGGTTTAGGGTTTAGGGTTTAGGGTTTTCTTGCATGGCATGATCAAATCAGGAGCCTTCTCGGCTTCCATAAAGGTACATCTCCTCTAGGGTTACAAGTCCCCACCCTGAACCCTAAACCCTAAACCCTATAGGGTTTAGGGTTTATAAACCCTAAACCCTAAACCCTAAACCCTGAACCCTGAACCCTAAACCCTAAACCCTAAACCCACCTCCAGGTGGTTAGGCCTCAACCGAGCCAGGAGCGTGGTCGAAGCTCTACCAGGGCGCAGTACAAGGCGCGCCCTTCCCAAGCTGGGGCTGAAATTTAGTGTAGGGTTTAGGGCTTAGGGCTTAGGGTTTAGGGTTTAGGGTTTGGGGTTTAGGGTTTAGGGTTTGGGGTTTGGGGTTTAGGGTTTGGGGTTTGGGGCTACAGGGTCTATGGGCGGGCTTGATCTAGAGATTTCGTGATGGGGCCCTTCGGTGGTCCCTTTTGTAGGGATTATAGGGCTGAGGGCTTCTTCCGCCGTTGACAGTATTGAGATGCAGATTTTCTGGGAAATCTCTGTCCGGTTGCGTGGAAGTCCTTGTGAATTCTACATGACGCATGTAATTCGCATTGGGTGTCTTTACAAAACCCTAAACCCTAAACCCTAAACCCTAAACCCTAAACCCTAAACCCAGAAGAGAGCTGGCCGGGACCCATCCTTCCCGAAACATGTCCAGACGCACAAGGGGAGGCCCCTAAACCCTAAACCCTAAACCCTAAACCCGAAACCCTAAACCCTAAACCCCAAACCATGAGAATGATGAGCTCGGCATTCAAGCAGAAATCACAACCCAGCTTCCGAGACATGTCAGCTGCGTCAGATGCTTGCAGAGGAATGCGCATGGAGCCAGACCTTTCATGACCACCACTGTCGGAGCAACATGCATTGTGCATCCTATCAGCTCTATGGGGGTTTCCGACATTAGGCGTACCCTATTGGGATCCTTATTCTAAGGGAAGCCTACTATTTGGGGTCTATCCTAGGGGCCCCTTATTTTCGTAAAACCCCCCATATTGCTAGTTCATAGGTGCTTATAGGCGACTCTCTTTCAGACAGGGATGGCGCCGCACATCGTTTTCCTGAATTATCAGGCGGCGGGTCATGTGAACCCCACACTGGGCCTGGTCGTCGAGTTGCGCAAGCGTGGCTGCTTCGTCACGTACCCTGGGCACCGAACGGACCCGGAACTTTTGGAGATATATACCCGATATCTTCTAGGCTGCTAATACTTATTCCTACCAGATGAGCCATAAACGCTTTAGGGGCAGTATACCCTGTGCTACTACAATTCTTCCTACTGAGGTACATGAACCGCAGACCCTGTAGGGTTTCTCCTAAGTGTCCACGTACCTGTATGGTATATACTTGGGTCCTAATTCTACTATATGGGAACCCCTTTAAGGCCCTAACCCCTAAACCCCTAAACCCCTAAACCCCTAAACCCCTAAACCCCTAAACCCCTAAACCCCTAAACCCTAAACCCTTAACTACCATTTTGGTACATGGACCCTTAGGGTTCCTTGGTCCCCCAAAGGTACTTCGTGGCCGAGGATGTCAAGGACGTCGTCGAGGGAGCTGGGGCCACCTGGCGCCCCTGGCGCCGGCCGGGCAGCGAGGAAACAGGTGTCTATGTCCCCCTTGGGAATTATTCTTTTGTTTATATAAGACCCAAGAGGATGTTAAAAACAGATGTTTCATTTTTGTTTATATAAAACCCAAGAGGATATTAAGAATATGATTTTTATTACGGTTCTAGGGGGAGTATAGGTGTGGCCTCCAAGCTGGATGCCGAGGGCATGGCAAGGTATGTTCCTGGGCAGGCCTTAGTGGGGCAGGATTTCACTTTTGTCGCTTACTTGAGACGGTTCATGGTTACCTTTTCGGTAGGGCTAGAAGCACCCTAAAGAAGGCTACAACCATAGTTGCCCTGCGCAGCACCCTACTTCTAAGTACCCTAATGAACCTCTCTGAGTATTGGAGATTTAAGAGGAACCATAGTGAAGAGTAACCCATAAACCCTAAACCCTAAACCCTAAACCCTAAACCCTAAACCCTAAACCCCTAAACCCTAAACCCTAAACCCTAAACCCTAAACCCTACCTTTTTAGAGGGTGTTGTGTGTGGCCAGCCCTAGGTTCCTGAAGGCAGTCCACCCGGCTCGTACATGTCCCCCTTCGGTGCAGCGTCGTGGGACGCCCTCGTGCTGATGCCGAACCTACTCGAGGACCCAAGTGAACCCCAAAAGGGAGGGTTTAGGGTTTAGGGTTTAAAGTTTAGGGTTTACCCTCAGAGGAGTTACAGGAGTACAGGGACGACGACCCCCCAAAGTTTCGCGTTCCTGGTGGTCCCCAAAGTACTCGAGGACCTGAAGTCATTGAGTCCACCGCCAAGCGTTGTGATCTACGATCCCTTCCTTGTGGCGCCCTTGGTCGCTGCTCATGTGCTGCTAGGATGCCCAGTAATGCCCTTATTCCCTTTTTTGGCGGTTTAGGTTCCTTACCCTAAAACCTAAACCCTAAACCCTAAACCCAAAACCCTTTTTAATCCCAGGTTACTGGGCTGCCCAGGCTTAAGCTGCCAGCGATGGCGTTCCTGTCCTACCCCGGGATGGGCGTGAGCGCGGCGGACGACAAGATGTCCGAAGCTACCTGGGCTCCTGGGTAGGACTAGGGGGGGGCCCTTAAAAGGGAACCCTTCGGAACTGTCTTCGGGGCCTCTTAAACAGGAACCTGCTTCAGAGGGTTTAGGGTTTAGGGTTTAGGGTTTAGGGTTTAGAGTTTAGGGTTTAGGGTTTAGGGTTTAGGGCCTTTGGGGTTTGGATTTTTGGGGTTTTACCGTTCTATTATCCCCAAGGTCGTGGGACCGCAGAAGGAGCTGTTGGCGAAGTACGGCTACGACATTCTGTCGAAGGGCCGTCCCGGCGACTGGTACTCCCAGGACGGCAACCTGGTCACAACAATTGAGCCTTAGTAGCTGATTGAGTACACTTTACACTGTTTAAGCTCTTTTTTAGGATACCAGAATCCCCTATAGAACTGAACGTTTACACTTTTTGGGGGGGCTTATGAACCCAGCAACTAAGGAGCCCTTGTACCACGGCCCGAAGTTTGGCTATCAATCCGAGACCTTGTGCGATGTGCCCTTCACCTGCGTTGGTGCACTGTCGGTGGCATCAGGCAAGCGCGTGGCGAACGCAAGCGTCAAGGACGACTTGAAAGACAAATGGGCAGAGGTCTTGGGGAAGCTGGATGCAGAGAAGGCTGCTGGGAAGAAGGTTGTCTACGTTTCCATGGGCACCGTGGGCAGCCGCACAGACATGTGGAACAGAAAGTTCGGGGTGAAGGGGATGGCAAACGGATTGGCCGACGCAACAGGCAAGGAGGCGATTCAGCATTGCTTTCGATGCTGCCTCCAGGCACTTGGGCGCCTGACTGACTCGGTGGTTGTGGCGATGGCTCTCGGCCCCCACGCAGATGCCTTGGAGGGCTTGCCGCCCGTGCCTCCCAACTTTGTCGTCGCACCCGCGATGCCGCAGCTTGAGGTGCTTGAGCGAACAGATGCTTTCGTGACCCACGGCGGTGCCAACAGCGTGCATGAAGGTCTTGACGCAGGAGTGCCGCTGATTGTCGTGCCGCTCTTCGGTGATCAGCCACTCAACGGGGACAGGGTGGCATCACTGGTAGCTGGCGTCTGCTTCCGGGATCCCCTCAAGGCATTGACGCCCGAGGCCTTGGAAGCAGCGGTGACACGCGCCCTGGCTCCAGGTGGCAAATTGGCCGAAGGGGCACGGAAGCTCAAGATGCAGCTTACGGAGTCTGGCGGCGCGTCAACAGCCGCCGAAACGATTTTGGCAGTTGTCGCCAGGCACGCGTGAGCCGCTGCCGTCGACACGGCAGCGAACCGCAGCTGTGTGGATTGATGTAGGGAACCCAAAGGGTCCTAAGTACCTATATAGTAGAAAGTAGGGTTTCTATAGTAGGAATTACTATTATGGTTTGAGTAAGTGTCCCCCATATAGGTACTTAGGACTCTTTGGGGAAGGCTTTGCCAAGAAGGCCAATACCCAAAGGGTCCATGTACCTATATAGTATACTTGGGGCCTTAAAGGGGTTCCCATATCGTAGCTTTAGGGCCCAAATATATACTATATGGGTACATGGACCCTTAGGGATATAGACAGCTGCTGACGGCCGCGGAGCGGTTGAGCAGTGCAGGTCAGCTTGCTGGATGAGGCTTCCTTGGAGTCGAAAAAAGTGCAGAATGCTTGACATTGACACTTCTCCTCGTGCAATCCTAAACCCTAAACCCTAAACTAAACCCTAAACCCTAAACCCTAAACCCTGAACCCTAAACCCTAAACCCTAAACCCTAAACCCTAAACCCTAAACCCTAAACCCACGGATCCCGTCTACTCCAGCAACTCCCTTGCCCTACACAGGTCTTCCCTCTCAGTCTCAACTCACCAAACCTTGCAAACCCTCCACCTCGGGTTCCCAAGGCTTCGACGACCAGCGCCTGCGAAAAAACCTCGCCGAGGCAGTGAATTCGGGGGATGGGGGGGGGGGGGGGGGGGGGGGGTTTCTGGAATTTGGTTGCTAGGGCCCAGGTTTCATGCAGCAACGGCCTCCAAAATGCCAAGGCTGCGGGTGTAAAGTTGAGCAGAAAAAGCTTGATAGGTTGAAGTGGGCTGAGGCACTTCCGGCATGTCTAGCTTTGGCACATTATCTCATTGAGGTGGTACCACTGTTAGCTTTTGACATTAGCTACTCATTACACCCTTCGTCCACACACCCATACTGCAGCTACTGATTTCCAAGCACGAAGATAAGGAGGCAATATTATCATCTTGAGCGCAGTAGAACTTCTATCTCGCGCCCAGGCCTTAAAGCGAACAGCAGTTTTTTCTTGTAGGATCGGACTTCCATCGTCATCTTCTCATTGGATTGAACTCGAAGAGCTGCTCCTTCACTGTTACACAGTTCTCGGTAGGCCCTTGGGGGTTTAGGGTTTAGGGTTTAGGGTTTAGGGTTTAGGGTTTAGGGTTTAGGGTTTAGGGTTTAGGGTTTAGGGTTTAGGGTTTAGGGTTTAGCCCCTTATTGGGTTTATAAGAGGATCATATCTAGGAATGTCTTTCAAAGGGTTTCAGGGCCATCCTAGAATTGTGCATGCATCCGCTGGTCAGGATAAGAAGCTACATCTTAGGGTTTAGGGTTTAGGGTTGGGGTTTGGGGTTTAGGGTTTAGGGTTTAGGGTTTAGAGTTTAGGGTTTAGGGTTTAGGGTTTAGGGCACCGTCAAGTTTGCCAAGAGAGCTGTGATGATGTTCGCAAAGACTCACTAGTGCGGTTACGTGCGCTTTCTTTGTCATGCCACTTTTTTCGCAATAGTTTCCTTCTGGCATTTTACCTTTTCTTAGGATGTTCTGTGCATTTCTGGGTTCATCCAACATTATGACCAAAAGAATTAAGGCAGCGACAAGAACACACCAAGCATCGGCCAGTTTCAGTACACAAATTACCAGCGCCAGCAGACAAGAATACACATGCCCGCGAAATGGAATAGCTTATTTCGCCTGTCTTCACCCCACCAAGCCACCAATCCACCATCCACCAACCCTAAACCCTAAACACTAAACTCACCAGCACTTGCCAAGTGTCAGCAGGCCTGGCCTGGCGACTATCCAGGAAGACCCGAGCTCAACGACTGGTGTCTCTGAAGAAGTTGTTTTAGTACTTGGGGAGGTGTTGGGATGGGTTTCGGTTACGTTTGGGGTGCTCGACGAGAGACAAAAACTTGTGAGAACTACAATAGCCACTTTCAGCTTTGTCACTGTGGTTCGATGTCAAGCAGCGTTTTCAATAACTATAGCTGTACCTGACTGTAACTCATTTGTTTGCACGTGTGTGGTGGGAGGCGGGGGGGTGTACCTAGTAATGGGGTTTGCGAGCTCGGGTAGTTGTGTCAGCGATGAACATTCGTCGTCCCTCGTCAGGAGTCATACGCAGTTGCTTTGTGGAATTTGATTTAAGGCTTACGGAGGCTGAGCCACATTCACACACGACCAGTGCTGAAGGAGTCGCGGTTATGCAATGCTTCTAGGTCTCTCTCGCTACCGAACATAAAAGTCTCGATGCTGCGGAGTTGCCATCATCTTGCACCAGTGTGCAGATGTAGGGTTCGGAGTCTAGGTTTGGATTGTGTTGCACGGGAAGTCGCTATCACTAAATGGTGGCTTAACCTCACACCAGTCGCAAACCCAAAGCCCAAAACCCTGAACCCCAAACTATGGGATTTTTGCTGTTGGATTTAGATCACTGTTTAGATGTATTAGTAAACCTTAAACCCTCAAAATGAAGCCCTAAACCCTAGTAGAGTGTCATTTCTGGGTTTACAAATGTTCCTGCAGTGTTTAGGGTTAAGGGATTAAGGGTTAAGGGTTTAGGGTTTGGGTTTCAGGGTTTAGGGTTTAGGGTTTAATTAAGGGTTTAGGGTTTAGGGTTCGGGGTTTAGGGTTTATAGGGTTTAGGGTTTAGGGTCCCTTGAGGCAAGAGACCGTGTTCGAAGTGCTGGCGAAGGCAGCCGTCGAGTCGGAAGGATACTGTGAGTGGACTCGTGCAGTCCAGTCAATAGAAGGGTCGAAAAAACACTAATGGTATGCCCTCATGGTCCCTATAAATGTACCAAAGTAACCCTCAAAAACTATTCCCTCACAGTACATCTACCATAGCAACCCCCCAAACACCCTATTCTAATTGTTCAGGCCCCTGGAGTAGAGCGGTGCCCTTTTGCCCTTTTTTTGGTTCAAGGTTCCCTTATGGAGTAACCAACCCAAAAGAGAGGGTACCCTTAACAGAATAGGGTTACTGGGCTACCAAGTATTGGGGTGCATGTTGTTGGCACTTACTACAGCAGCCCCAACCCTGAGAACCCAAAGCCCTGAAGCTTGAATCTCTGAAATATCCCAGGCCCCGAACCCTAAACCCTAAACCGCAAGAATCCTAAACCCGAACCCTGATTCCTGAGAACCCTAAACCCTACCTTTGCAGCCACTTTGGTACGGCTCCCCGAAACCCTAAGCCCTAAACCCTGTAAATCACACCCGACACCCTTAAATCCTACAGCGAAAGCTGGCCTGGTATCGCCCTGATTTCCAGATTTCCAAACCCTAAACCCTAAAAAGTTTCGCGTCATGCCGAATCTACGGATACAAGTATGCCAAGCAAGGGTGTAGGGCTAAAGGACTAAGGTGTCCGTAAGCGCTAAACTCTAAACCCTAAGACTAAGGGGTTAAGGTCTAGGGTCCCAAGCCCATTATGGGGGCGCAGACTTTGGACCCCCAAAGCCAAGGTGAACATGGCCACGCCCTCATCCCCCATTGCCCCCAGGACCCTCAACCCTGGGAAAGGCCCCCAAGACTTTTTAACATTCACCCTAAACCCTAAACCCTAAATCCTAAGCCCTATATCATATCCTAAATCCTAAACCCTAAACCCTAAACCCTATATTCCTTAAACGGGTTTAGGGGGTTTAAGGTTCAGGAGGGTTTGAACTACATAGGAACCGGGAGTCTGAATCAAGGCATCTTCCTCAATGAACTATTGGGTTTCGGGCTCTCCATGACTTATGCCAGGGGGTTTAGGGTTTAGGGTTTAGGGCTTCGGGAAGCCCTGAAACCCTAAAACCCACAAGGCCATAAGGCACTGAACGCTATAAAACCCTTAAACTCCTAGGGGTCTTAACCCCAAAGCCCCCCTAAACCCCAAACCCTAACCCCATAAACCCTGTAAATCCTACAAACCCTAGAAACCACATAAACTCTACAAACCCTATAAACCCTATAAACAGTATAGACCTCATAAACCCTGTAAATCCTATGAACCCTATCAACTCTATAAATAAGTCCTATAAACCCTAGACACCCATGAAGGAGAGTGGATTGACTACTGGACCTTTGGCGCCAGCGCTTGCAGCTACGGCTACTGGCACCTTGGTCTGGTTAGAACGGAGAGCCCAGCGCGCTGTGAGTAGTATTAAAATAGGGTTCACGGTTTAAGGGTTTAAGGGTTTAAGGGTTTAGGGTTTAGGGGGTAAGGTTTATGCGATTCAGGGTTTAGGGACATTGGGGTTTAGGGGTTAGTAGGGGTTCATATGAAACAGGGTTATACATATCAGGGTTCCTTTAACAATTTGGTGAGAGCATATATTAGGTGTCCCTTTGGGGATACTACTCATATGCTCTGCTTTTCCGAAAAATGTCGAAAGCTGTTCATTCCTGGCGGAATTGTTTCATTTGTGTCGGGCAAAAGGGCAAGCACTTCGTTCTCCCTTTTGATGTCACTGCTCGGGACGGTTCTGTATAGTATAGCGTGGTACATGCGATGTTGAAACGTTTTCGAAGTTTTGTGGTGAACTTCTATCGGCGAAAATGATGCTGAATTAAATCTTGTTTTCGCTTTCTGAGCCATGTGAACTACTACACAGTCAAGCTTCACGCTGAACCGCTTCAGTGTTGGTTCCAGGTCTTCTTACTAGTTGTCGTATCGGAGGACATAAGGCTAATTTTGTTCAACAGGCAGACTTTTTCGAACGAGCTTTGTGCAAACTTAGAGCGCTTTCCATGAAGCTACTCATGGATGCGCAGCGAACAACTCTAGGGTTTCTTTGACTATCAGTCTGAGCCTTACAGCTGGATTGACAATTTCCCCTTTGATCTCAAATTGCCAACTGGCTTCTTTTTTCGTTCCTGTCTGGGATTACAAAGTACTTGCAGAAATCTTTCTCTACTGCAAGAACAAACTGTGACTGCCCCAGTCGTTGATTGTCAAAACATTCGCATTCAGGCCGAAAGACTTTCTTTGCTGCAATGTCTGGCAAAA